CAACAAGACCAACGGCGGCGTCACCGTCGCCGAGGTCACCGGCTCCAACGTCGTCTCCGTCGCCGAGCACGTCGTCATGACCATCCTCGTCCTCATCCGCAACTTCGTCCCCGCCCACGAGCAGATCGAGCGCGGCGACTGGGACGTCGCCGCCGTCGCAAAGCAGGAGTACGACCTCGAGGGCAAGACCGTCGGCACCGTCGCCATCGGCCGCATCGGCGAGCGCGTCCTCCGCCGCCTCAAGGCCTTCGACTGCAAGGAGCTCCTCTACTACGACTACCAGCCCCTCTCCGCCGAGAAGGAGGCCGAGATCGGCTGCCGCCGCGTCGAGGACCTCGAAGAGCTCCTCGCCCAGTGCGACGTTGTCACCATCAACGCGCCCCTGCACGAGAAGACCCGCGGCCTCTTCAACAAGGACCTCATCTCCAAGATGAAGAAGGGCTCCTACCTCATCAACACCGCCCGCGGCGCCATCGTCGTCAAGGAGGACGTCGCCGACGCCCTGAAGTCGGGCCACCTCGCCGGCTACGGCGGCGACGTCTGGTTCCCCCAGCCCGCGCCCGGCGACCACCCCCTCCGCACCGCCAAGAACCCCTTCGGCGGCGGCAACGCCATGGTGCCCCACATGTCCGGCACCTCGCTCGACGCGCAGAAGCGCTACGCCGACGGCACAAAGGCCATCATCGACAGCTACCTGAGCGGTCGCGAGGACTACAAGCCCGAGGACCTCATCGTGCACAAGGGCGACTACGCTACCAAGGCGTACGGCCAGCGCGAGAAGAAGTGAGCGAGTTTCTCTGGATGTCGATTGGAGTGGAAATCATACCCCAATGGAAGGTTGTGTGTGAGGAAATCTAGCGTTTGTTTTTAGTAGTTTTTCAGCATTAGCATGAGCATTTGACTTCCAACGAAGTCTAGGTTACCGTACATAGGAATATAACCTGATGCGATGCAACTCTGTCTCCCTTGGAATTGATTAGGTGGTTTGCCTGGACGGCTTCAGGCGGTCGGGACTGTCTGGCGCAGAGTCTGGCCACACCCTTAGGTTGCAATCCAAGACCCATTGGTAGTGGTCGTCAGGCGAAAGGAGAATGGTGTCGACCCGAGGCTCGCGGCGTGCTTCCGTCCAGCTCTCAGCATGCTATCTCTCTGCCAAAGCAGTAAAATACGGAGCTCGATTCTGCCTCTTTGGTCTTCCTGCTGCCACGCTTGCACGGTATGTGCACCTTGATCTTCACCCGAATCGTCGGGCCGGGCAGCACGTCTTCTTCTCGCGGCGACTTCTAGCGAGGGCGATTTTGCTCAAGACTACTCGACTCCGCCACGTGAGCGTGATCGTGAGCCGTCATAGTCACACGTAGACGCTGTCTTTTGGGAGTGCTTGTACCGTTTTGTTTCTATTTCAGAAGGCGCCGCAAAAAGGCGCCGCGAGCTTGAGCCGGCAACGCTATTTCGTATGACGCTCGCTCGCTGCCATGAATCCTCCACGCTCTAGATAAATCTTTTTGCATGCCAGAAAGCCTTGAAAATTGCGAATTTAAAAAGACTGCCACCTCGCTCCGGTGCGAGCAGCCCCAGCCGACGCCAAACGTCTCTTTCACTTTTTGAATCCAAAAAAAAAAAAGAAACTCCTCGGAATGGGAACCCGGACCATCCCCAGCGCGCCGCCACTCACCGTACGACGGCAATATGCAAAATTAATAAACATGACCTCTCAGACAGGTACCCAGAAGCAGCAGGGGCGCGAATCTCCCAAGCCGCGACTCCTCTCTCTTTTTCTTTCTCTTTCTGTACCTCGCAAACCCTCACCCTCCGGGTTCGGGCGCAATCATGACCTCTTCCAAAACTGCCACCACGCCCTCTCCTCCCCCTCTTCATACCCACGATGCCTCGTCTCCCTCTTGACAACCTGCTGATCCCGCCCGCGGATCCGCCAAAAGTACACCGGCACGCCCGCCACCACAAACAGCACCACCGTCACCGTCTGCAGCGGCTGCGCAAACACGGCGCGGCTCAGCAAAAACAGCGAAACACAACAAAAGATAATGGGCGTTGTGATCCACGTCCGGTACGGCCTGTCGAGCTGCGGCTCGCGCACGCGCAGAATAATGAGGCCCAGCACCGTGATAAAGTAGAACGTGTACCCCGCGACGCCGTAAAACGTCAGCAGGGTGCCGAATTCGCCCACGATGATGTACGCCGCCGTCAGCAGGCCGTTGAGCACGAGGGCCCAGACGGGGGTGTAAAAGAGGCCCATGTCGTCGTCGCCGAGGGCGCGGATCAGGAGATTTGCGAGACGGCCGCGGGAGGTGCGGGACGTGGTGACGGAGTGGCCGCCGCCGCCGTTGCCGTTGCGCGACAGGCCGATGCTGCCAAAGACGGACGGGATGTAGCCCTCTTTGCCGGCAACGTACACCAGCCGCGACGAGGTAAAGGTCGACGAGTTGAGGGCGCCGAAGCAGGATGCCGAGACAACGAGGGCGAGGACGAGGGAGCCGACGGGGCCAAAGACTTTTGCGCCGAACTGGACGGCGATCGTGTTGGAGGCGTTGACGGCCGCGAGGGGGAGGACGAGAAAGTAGGCAATGTTGGCGAGGACGTAGGAGAGGATAACGAGGGGCATGGCCGTGTGGATGACGCGCGGGAGGTCGCGGCTCGGGTTGCGGAACTCGCCGACGACGTAGTTTGTCTAGATGGTCAGCGGCGCTCAGAATCTCGAGACGAAAAAACTTACATTGTCCCAGCCGTCGTAGGCCCAGAGTCCCGCGTATAGGGCGACGGCCCAGGCGGAGAGGTCGGTGGAGGTACCCTCGAACCACTCGTGCGATTTCCACTCCATGTTGGCCTTGCCCGTGACGGTCTTGCCGGTGATGGCGACGACGATGCCAGTCACAGTAACGCCCAGCAACGCAATAAACTTGAGAAACATGAGCCAGTCGTTGACTTTTGTGCCGAGCTTGGTGGAGACGCAGTTGAGCAGGGTGACGGAGACGAGGGCGACCATGGCGACGGCCTTGTTGACCCAGGGGCTGAGGCTCTCGGCCTCGGCGCCAATGGCGGCGCGCACGAGGTACTCGCCCATGATGATGGCGATGATGGCGGCGCTGCCCGGCTTCAGCACCAGCACGGCCACCCAGGTGAAGAGGAAGCCGGCCATCTCGCCCATGATCTTAGCGAGGTAGACCTGCGCGCCGCCATTCAAGGGTATCGCGCCGCCGAGCTCCGCGTAGCTAGCCGCGCCCGTCCAGGCCAGCACGCCGGCAATGACCCAGACGACGAGCGCGGCGCCGGGCGAGCCGACCTTTGAGCTCACCTGGCTCGGGCTCGAAAAGATGCCGCTCCCTATGATGAGGCCCACGATGAGACTCAGGCCGTTGAGGTACGTGAGCGTCTTGTGCTTCTCCAAGCTGCCGCCGCCGAGTCCGCCGTTTTGTATCGCGGTCGAGGTGGGCGCGCCAATGGGTGCGTAGCCGCCTGCGCCGCCGGCGCCGGCTGTGGAGCTCAAGGGGAAGAGGTTTGCGGCGAAGTCGAAGCCCGAGGAGACGGAGTAGGAGCGGTCATGGCGGTTCGGTCTCCCTGAGGAGGCAGCGGCGGCCGGGTTCGCGGCGTCTAGGGGGTCTTCGGCGTCAAAGGAGAGCTTGCGGGAGGAGGATATGGAGGGACGCGAGGAGGGCAGGTCTGAGACGACAGAGTCGGCGCGGGAGGACGAGGCGAGAGAGGCGAGCTCGAGGGAGTCGCGGTGGGATTGGACATTAGCGTATGGTGGCATGGTGGTCTTTGAATCGGGGTGTCGAGGGAACACTTTCGACCTGGATTTCGTTCGAGCGTTCGGGGGTTCGGCACTGGGGCTATCGCATGTTGCAGCGGCCAATGTGGAAAAAGCAACGGAGTGTACGTGATCGAGTGCCCTCGATTGTGGGTATTAGAGTAGTGGTGTCTTTTTCGAATTTCGTGACGTCGTTGGCATATACGTTTCGTTTAAAGGAGTCGTGACAAAGTTGCGCCGGGCCCGTCTGATGCGCGCTCTCTCCAGGGCTCTCTATACCCACTTCCCTACACGCGGAAACCGAAACAGACTAATGAGCCAGGGGGGAAGAAGCGGAGAGGAAAGGAAACATCCAACTAGTAGCTGTATGCTTGACTGTGGTTGATGTCCGAATACGTTTGGCCAACGGAACAAATGGGGGCTGGATGAGGAGATGTGGTGGCCGGGGTCGTATGTATCGGTAGAAAGTGTGGTCACTGGCGAAGGGAGTTGTGCGGATTAAGGTTGAGGCGGATGAACAAAGGAGGGAAGAAAGAAAGATTGAGTTGCGCCGAGAACAAGGTGGCATCCAGATGCAACAATGGCCCCTGGGTGTCTGGACTGGCAGGACTGGGTTGTGGACGGCAGACTCAAGGGTTCCAGTGACGAACTATCGAGTCAAGTCAAGCATCAGCCAAGTCACTTTTGCCTTTGATAGTACGGTATCTGCAGATGTATCTTTTGATTCAAAGGGGGCAGTTTTACTGCAATTTGGCTGGGCCTCCAGATTGTTGACTTCCCACAGCCAGCAGTGCAGCACCACAGCAGCTGTTTCGCACCCGCACGGGCCCACGAGCAAAAAGTACGCGGATCAACCCTTGATTGGCCCCCCATCGAGATCCGCGGCACGGGCAGAGCGAATCACATCTTGGCGCCTGCCACCGGTTTAAGAGTGTGGGGCGCAAAGACTTTGGGACAGGGGGCCTCCCCTTAGCAAGCGTGAACAAGCAAAGCCGAAATCCTTTGAGCCGCTCCAGGACGAAGAAAAAGCCACCAAAGCCCACTGACCGCAGCGCCAGGGGGGAAGGGAAGCTTAAGGGATAGTGGGGCAAAGAGGCCTTGAAGAGCTGAAAGCCTCCGACAGACGGAAGCACAAGGAAAAAGGAAGCTCGGATCCGCGTCGCCGTCCCACCTGCAATACGCGGGAATCCATCACCACCACGTCCGACGGCAACACCACCCACCACCGCCCACGATGCCGCTCGACGACTACGCCTCCGCAGTAGGCGGCGGCCTCAAGCTCAAGGGCGCCAAAGTGACCAAACCGAAAAAGAAGAAGAGACGCGACAAGACCGACCTCGAAAAGAACCTCGAGACGGGCGACCAAGGCGGCAGCAGCACTGCGCTGGTGAAGCACCGTGAAGAATCCGCCGGCGACTTGAAATCCAAGTCGAAAAAGAAGAGCGAGGACCCTGACGAGGACCGGGACAACGACGATGACGACGAGGGCAGCGGCCGGGTCGTGCAAAAGACGGAGGCGGAGAGGCGGTATGAGGAGAGGAAGCGCAAGAGGGTATGTCTTTTTTTCTTCCTCCCCGTTTCTTGCAGGGCAGGATTCGCCTCGTTGCCATCTTTCGATCGCTACTCTGACATCTTGTACCAAATACAGCTCCTCGAACTCGCAGAATCGTCAAGCTCCCGCCCCGAGCTCCTCAAGACGCACAAGGAACGTGTCGAGGAGCTGAATACGTACTTGTCCAAGCTGAGTGAGCATCACGATATGCCCAAGATTGGGCCTGGTTAAGACTTGCTCCGTGGAGACGGCTCGCCAAGAGGGCTCGTCAAGAGGGCTCGTCAAGGAGGCCCTCGAGCAAAGCGGAAGAAGAGGGGGTTGTTTTGTCGGTTGGGATCATTTCGCTTCTTGGATGGATTGGATGGAAAGAGGAAATGGAGTTTTGATTTCGGCGTTATTGTATACCCTTTCCAAAGTCTGGGAAATCGAAAACATATTCATCACCTTCGCGTTGCTGGTGCTGGTGCTAGTGCTGCCATTCTGCCACGGAGCCCCCCTCCCTTGAAGCAGAGAGATGACACCGCGAAAACAAGCAAGACATCAAGCAAAACAAGGTAGATGGCCCATCTGAACACCTGACGCCCGACACCTACCCAAGACTACGTTGGAATGCGGGCAGTCCCGCAATCAAACACGGTAGGCGAAAACAATCTAGCTCTCGAACGTGTCAAGGAATGCGGGGATCATGTCTCAACCCAAGTGTGTGTGTGTGTGTGTGTGTGTGTGTGTGTGTCAAATGATTTGTTTTCATTCTTTTTTGCACAAAATTCTTCAGTGTTGTTTGTTTCTCGAGTTCCTTTGGTTCTGCCAAGGAACTGTACTAACATTTCAGGTTTCCCCATCGTGATGATGGCCTGTTTTCTTCCGCTTCCGAATTCTTCCCCCTAGCTCCTCCTCCTCCTCTGCCACCCCTAGACCAAGATGTTTCTCAGTGTGTCTCCCATTCTATTATCCCCTCCTATCCAAAAATCAAATGTCGGCGCCAAGGCCGCGCGTAGTCTATGTATCGTTGTGTCGATTGTTGTGCTGTGCCCACCAGTTTTGTATGCAAGGAGTGAATAGACCGTTAGATGTCGTAAGTAAGTTGTGATGCTGATGTGTATGTGTGTGCCGCCCGACCAACCAAAACCCGCTGCCCAAAAAAAAGGAATGGATTAAATATTTAAACAGAAAGTTCATCAACGTGGACGATGAACGTTGTACACGTTCGAGTGGTGCTGGATGCTGTCCTAGTCTACAGCAACAGCATGGCGCCGGCTACAAACGCGGCGAGACCAATGGGCAGGACGGAGACGCTGCCGATGGGGACGGCGACGTTTTGCAGACCGCCACTGCCACCGCTGCCGCTGGAACCGGCCGAGGTGGCGGCGGGTTCGGGGTCGACGGCGACAAAGGACGTGGCGGTCACGAGGACAACGTCGCCGTTGGAGGCGGTCGACGTAAAGGTGGACTTGACCTCGCTGTACGAGGTGGTCCGGGGCGTACTGCGCGTGGTGGTGGTGCCTTGGCGGGTAGTGCCTGATGTTTTGTTAGCAACTTGATGCAATCGGAAGGATGAAATGACGAGTCACGAGGCCAAAAAGATCATCTGCCAAACCCTCAACTCCAGGCTAACATGAATCGAGCGCTACAAAACCAACATACCAGATACAGACACAGTCGACGAAGCGGAGGACACCGTGGGGGACGAGGTCACGACCGTAGTAGTCTCAGAAGAAGGGGAAGCAGACGTACCCGGCGCGGACGCACTCGAAGACCCCGGGGAGGCCGTGGTGGGAGCGGACGAGGGGGCAGAAGAAGGGGGAGGGGGAGAAGAAGAGGAAGGAGACCCACTGGTCGTCGGAGGAGACTCAGTAGAGACGGTGGACGGCCCAACAGGAGTAGAAGAGGGAGATGCTTGCTGCGACTCCGATTGAGACGTACCAGAAGAAGGGGCTGCTGCTGAAGTCTGCTGCGTCGCGGGGGTGCTCGAGGCGGCGGGTTGTTGCGATGACTGCTGGGGCGTGGTCTGCGCTGCCGAAGTCTGTTGCGGCGTGCTAGAGGACTGCTGGACCTCTGCGGAGGAGGACGGCGGGGGAGCAGCGGAGGAGGTGGCCGGAGTAGACGGCGCTGGGGTCGGAGTCGGGGTCGGGGTGTTACTGGCCGGCGGCGCGGACGAGGCAGACGGCGTGGAAGCTTCCGAGGCGGAGGGCGTGGGAGTGGCAGCGGGAGCAGCGCTCGAGGTGCCATTGTCCTGACGCTTCTCTAGCTGACCGAGAGCAGAAGCCAGCTCGGCGTCATCCGCCTGGAAGGCAGCAATGGCTTCCTTGTCCGAGGCATAGACGCCATCCTGGTAGCGGTCGGGGAAGTAGGCGTGGAGGAGCCTGTGAATGAGATCCACTTTGGCGGCGTCCTTGACCTCGCCCTCTGCCACCAGGACCTGTTCCTGATGATCTCTCGTGCAAGGTCGTGCCCGGTGACCAATGGCCGAGGCGAGACTGAGGGTCATCAAGCCGCACACCAAGACGGTGAGCAGAAGACGGCGTGCAGCAGTCATTTTGTTTGGCGTCCTGGATGATGGTGATGTCGTCGTGATCCCCTTCTGGTTGACAACAGGCAGCAATCCCTCTTCAAGGTGGTGGTCGTACTTTGTGTCGAAAGTCATGGTGGCGAGATGTGTGAGGTGCTCCCGGGTTGTTTATAGACAGGACCAAGAGGCCAGGAAGGTTACAAACACCCAAGACGGCAGGACGGAAACGACAGTTGGATGGACGCGGAAGTAGGTGTGCAGGGGACCAAGTGTGAAGTTACACACAGCGAGTGAGGGTCTGTCTAGCGTCCCGGCTGCAGCAAAAGGCGGCGAAAGATGTAAGAGAGGGGGGAAAAGATCCAATGGCCCAACAAGTTCAAAGAGAAGGCTTGCAGGTATTGTATAGGTCGCAAGCGGCCTCCGTTTCTGATGTGAGGAAGAGGGGCGAGAGGCGATCTAAAAGGTTGGATGAGCGGTGGTACCTGGCCGGCCGAAACCCTCTTGTCTGGTGGGTGGTTGGGGGTGAGGCCAAGGATGGAGTTTTCTGCGTAGTGAGACCCGTCGAGCTAACAGCTTTTGGGATGTGAGGGTCGGCTTGAGGCACGCCGCGCGCTTCTTTTGCGGTCCCCGGGGTTCGGTATCAAAAGCAAAGAAAAAACCTTGCTGCTGAATGTTTATCGTTTGAGAATGGACGGAACCGGGGAACTACTGCGTACCCGTCCAATGGATGGAAGCTGACACTGGGCGATAGGTATGTGTGTAGATTGTTGCGCAGTCCCGCCAATTTCACAAGCCTGAGACTTGGCTTGGAATGTGAACAAACTCTGAACAGTCGGGATGACGAGAATCTACCGTGTTGTAGGTGGCGATGGACAACAGCAAAGGCGAGCGAGCGTCGTAGCAGAACAGCGACCGAAGGATGATCAGATGAGAACTGGCAAAGCGAGCGAGCAAAGGGGATTGGCGTTTAAACCTGTTGAAGATCGTCCCAGGCAGAATGCACATCGGCGTCGCCCAGTCGGCTGGGGGCAACACATCTTTGTGCATATAAAGATTCCCTGTTTCGCCGCCCCGACGACGTACCCCTGTCCTGTCGGCCCAACTCGAGCTATCCGTCCCATTGCTTCCATGGATCCGTTCTAGCTGCGTAGCTCTCTGTCAGTATGGATAGAGTGACGAACCGAGCCCCGGTCGACAGGCTCAGTGTAACCCTCTCCGCCGTGAACCAAACCGAGCTTCCCATTTCATCAGTCCGTCCCCATCTTGCATCGCTATCGCTCGTCACTGGTGTCCATCGCGTCTGCGGCGTGCCGGGACAGCCTCTGGAGACTGGAGTCTGCAGCAGCTCGCACAGGGATCGTCAGGCGCAGCGTCCATCCTCGGCTCCAGTCGATATTGAATAATATTTTGCTGATTCTGTCCCAATTTGGGCCGGGAATGTCAAAAGCCCATTAATTCCTCCGGGCGTGGCCTCTGCGCTAGGCAATGTCTTTCCGTTCCCTGATACCCACTGGCCCCAAAGCCACTTGGCTCATCTTTTTTTCTCAGGAGTCGCCCGGTGCTGCCGTCGAGTGGATTGTGACATCACCAATAGCATCAGACCAGCGGCGTCTCGTATCGTCTCCGAACCCATCGTCAGTCTGATTCATTGTCCCACACTTTGCACATACCGCGTACAGAAGTGCAGAGAGACGTACGTGGGCTACGCTACGCCGCGATACGAGTCGTCTGGTGTCTGCCAACTTCAGATGCCCCGCGATGGTGCCGCACTCGGTGACTTTCGCGCCATCCACACATGCAAGACTCTTGGTGATCAGTCAGACCATGGGGGTTTCTCGTCCAATTGCCTCCATCCTCGCATCGTTGGCTCGTGGGAGGGGAAGGGGGAGCTGACTGTCGGGGCCTGCACCCAGCCGCCCTAGCGAGTGCCCGGGGGGGTCTTGGAAACTCGGTGCGGTGTGCTGCAGCATCTTTGCGACATCCACCGCGCTGGCACTGCATGCAGGTCGATTACGAACCCACTGCCGGTCTGGTCAGCTTTGCAGGCATGGTGTCGTATCCCAAGGGAGCTGATAAGACTATTTTTGCTTTTGGCTTGCCTCTCCCGTCAATAGAGCCTCATTATCACTCCCTCTGCGTCTGTCTGTGGTCCGTCTGTCGATAGAACCTCTTTGCATAAGAGAGCCATCTCCCCTGAGCTTCGTCGCGCCTGAATCTGGTGTGGAACACGTCAAACGGCGAGGTGCAACTGTACAACGTGTGGGCTCACGCATCCGTCTGATTTGATGGTCTTTTGTCCTAGCTGGTACGGGAGGTGGCTGTGATGGTCGCCGTTTGGAGCGTTGCGCACCTGAAGCCGCCCGTATGGTTTCTTAGCCCGTCTGACCCGTTTGACGTTCTGTTTGCGTAGGTTTGAAACAGCGAGCCATCACCTATCACTGATCAGACCGACAGATGGGGCTCGTCCTATTCGCGGTGAATACTCCGTAGTCGCTGTCCACAATCGAGTGACTGATCGACTCGTATTTTGACTTTTTTTCTGCCCAGCGTCCGGTTTGGGGGAGCGGCCCAGTGCAGCTGTCTCTCCAGCATGTCCCCAGTCCCTGCCAGCCAATCCTCGACCCGCTGCAGGGACCAGGTGATACGAGATGCGGCCCTCATCCTCGAGACTCTCGAATGACGGGTGCTGGGGCGGTCGGGCAGCCGAGTGCCGGGGCCTCGACCCTTTTTTCGCACTCGTCGATGCCGATGCAGGCTTCGTGGCCCGCTAGAGCATCCGGATGGTAGCGGGAGGCGAGGAGGCTGAGGCAGATGTGCCAACTCGCTATTCGTACGTTTGACGGGCACTGACGGGACAAAATGAAGATGGTGGCGTCCGGATTGGGAAACGGTCAGCGGTGCCCCACGATCTGGTGGTTTGTGGCTTGCCTGTTGATTCTCCGATTGATTGTTATTTTTGGCAGTTTTAGTAGTAGTGCTTCAGCAGTACACTAGGCTGGCGACACCCAACAAGTGTGAGCATCAAATGCGATGTCGACGATCTGGCGATGCTGCAGACCGACGTTGAGCTGCGAACAGCACCCACTTGGGATGCCCCAATTTTGGCCTGGAGACTGGAGACGTCGATTATGTCAGAAGTCCACCATATCGCAACGTCGCAACCTGGCTTTCTCTCGCAGGTGGACTACATGTGCATCATCGTGAGGTCGCGAGCAGCAGATTGATAGAGCCTGGCGTCACCACAAGTCCACCACAGCATGTCCGAGCCGACGGGCACCAGGCTGGCACGGCTGGCGGCTGGCCTGACGGGTCCAATTGACTTTTTCATCTCGTGAAGGGCTGAAGGCTGATTCCGCCCTGGCTTGGCCTGTGCCGTGTCGCGCGTGTGTCTTGTTTGTGGTTGAGATTACTTAAGAATGACACTGCGACGTCCACATTGCTCTTTTCTCAAGGCGTCAGGCCAGGCCATGCCTGCAGGAATCTGGCAATGTCCGCCGCATAGAGGCTCTCGAATGGAGGCTACCATGGTTGAGTGTCGGGAGATAAGGTCACCGACGTCTGGGATCACGTCTGGAACGTCCCTGGGGTGGGCGCGTTTGATGATGGCGAGCTTGATCGCGGTGTGTCTCTCGTCAGCCTCCTCTTCAGACTTGTGGAAGAAAGATGGTCGACGGCTTCTGATTCTTGACTTCGGTCCCGGACGGGAGACATCCTGAGGTTCCTTACCTTAGAGGCCGAGTACATGGCTGCAAGTGCCTTAGGTAAGCTGCCGTTCGGTACCCGGAAGACACGCCCGAGTGCCCCGCCAAGAGAAGCAATCGCAAGAGAACCTCTGCGGCATCAGGCTCAGCCACAGGAGGTGACAGGCTGTGTTGTTTGGCCCTGTGGCTCGTGCGCCTTGTGAAATCCGGTGGGATCTGTCTGCTGTCTGTCACTGCCATCCACTACGTGCTGACTGTCGCTGTTGTCACCCGCTGTCCACTCGCGTTGGCGCATTCCTCCCTGGCGCCGCGCGGCTGATGGACCGCTTTCCCAACAGAGACTGCTAGCAGACAGCCCACTAACCCAGCCAGCCCAGTCTCGCAGATGACAACACAGCTGCCAATTCGCATCTTTCATGTGATGGAGCTCCCCACAACCGCCGCCTCGCCGTCAACTTGTTCCCCAGCCTCTGACACCCGTGGCCTGACGTGAAAGAAACACCATCATCGTAGCGACGCCCCAATCACCCTGCGACAGCCCACGGCACCCGTCTCGCTCAATTCCATGTTACCCAGCATCGCCAACACAGTGATTCCCAATTCCCAGTAACCGAATGCTGGCACTCGTCACCAATGCGATAGCTCCGCCATGCCCGCGCATCTCGAACCGAACGCTCTCTTCGGCCACGATACAGAAGCAAACCATGAAATTCGATCTCTCAGCCGCTCCCCGCATCCCTATCACCACCTCAATACCGAGCTCCCTCATCCCGCCCACCGTCTAGTCTATAAGCCTCCCAATGCCGCACCGACACCGCCGAGGACATCATCAACAGACTCCAGCCGAACCCCATCTCCCTTTCCATCGTTCGCCAAGGACTCTTCGCAGGGTAGCGACAGCGGCACCGAAGCCGACGATGAGCACTTTCTCAAGGGGCTGCCGGCGCCCAAGGTCCGCCTGCACAAGGGACTAAGGGGGCAGAACGAGGTGCTCTCGGGCTCGTCGACGCCCCTCTTCTCTCCAGACCAGGAAGAAGATGCCTTGCGCAAGCAGAAGGAAAAGGAGGATCGGAAAGAGGCCCGCAGGTTCCTCAACGATCGCAACTACCGCCGCACAAAGGAGCTTATCCGGCGCGTGTCAGAGTTCATCATTGTGGGTTCGCTCTTCGCTGTGGTTCGCTCAAATCCGTTGGTGAAGCCACTCTTCACCGCGTGGATCAGAGGTATGTCACGTCCAGTCCGACGTTGGAACTGCAGCTCACATGTTCAGAACTGCGCTTCCCAGCCACGCTCATCACCTCTCTCATGATCCTCTACCCGGTCCGACTCTTCGCATGGTCAACCCGCCATAGGGCCTCGTCAAAAAAGCCAGCCATTGCTGTGCCCACCGTCTTTGACCCTGCGCCCATTCTGTATCCTCCGTCTGTGACGCTCCTCGTGGCGTTATTAATATCCCCCGACAATCAGGCGGTCATCCTTACAAACATTATTCTGAGCATTTCTTCGATACCCAAATACTTAATCCCGACGGCTCGCGCTCACGAAGCCATTAACCCCCTGCAATGGGTTCTATCCTGCGTTCCCATGTGGCTTTCGCAGCAACACCCGGAAGCGACACTATCTAGACCGAGCATCAGCCCGGAGACGGCTGTTCTCCTGTACCCGCTGCACCAGACGCTGCTCGAAGTGCTGCACTATCTTACTACGACGAGCCTGCTCACGGCTGAGCTGCAGCTGCTCTCCATCGCCTTGATCAATGTGCTCCTCCTCGCCCACTCGCCACAGGCCACCATTCTCCAAGCGCTGCTCTGGGGAGGCGGCGTGGGCGTGCTCGTCGTCTGCGGTCCGGTGATTCGATGGGGTATCGCCTTGGCTAGGGTTCCGAGGCTGCGCTTCAGGCGCGTTGGGATCCTGTCAAAGAAGTCATCCGTCTTTGGGTTTCTCTCCGAGGGGCTCTCTATGCGGCGCTTCAAGCACGAGCTGCTGGGCTCATCACTGGAGGAGTCGGCATCTGAACTGGGCGATTCCGAAGAGGAAATCATCAACGGACCCTTTGCGAAACCCATGAGAGTCCGGACGTTTGGCATGGCCGATATGCCCCCCCGAGGAGAGCGCAAGATGAGCGCCTCTCCTGATGGCAAAGCCCCAGCATCACCAAACGGGTTCGCCGCTGAGCGACGCAACACGTTTCCGTATGCTTTGCAGCGGCCACGGCGGTCCCTGACACACACATCAGCAGGCCGAAGGAAACGCACCGCGTCGACCACCGTCCGCTCCTTCTTCAAGCTGACGGAGGCGCAAGCCACCATGAGGAAATGGTCGTACGCAACATATGTCTACACTTGCATTGTGCTCATCATCTTGGTGCCTGTGCGAGAATACATTGGTCGCCATGCGCTGCTGGGTAACGAGCCCGTCGGTTGGGCACTGGGATATCTCTTTGGCGAGCTGCCGTGGTTCAGGTTCAAAGTGGTTGAAGCGAACCTCGAGAGATGGATCTGTCTGCCTGCACGCCTGAGCGAGGACGTTGCAAAGGCGTCCTGCCACCAGGGTTGGGTGCAGCACATTCGGCTGGCCGACTTTGGCGAAGCCAACACGCGGCTCCTGATGGCAGCGTACTGGCTTGCCATTGTCATTGTTGGCTTGACCGTGGTCATTCGCCTGGACCCCAAGTACGAAGTGGACACGAGGCGAAAGGTCTTCCACTTCATGATGGTTGGCATGTTCCTCCCTGCAACCTTTATCGACCCCGTCTTTGCGGCTTTGGCACTATCGCTTGTCCTCGCCATCTTCCTCATTCTCGACCTCCTGCGGGCGAGTCAGCTCCCGCCGCTGTCCCGGCCCATCGCCTCGTTCCTCACGCCGTACGTGGATGGCAGAGACCACAAGGGGCCCGTCGTCATCTCCCATCTGTTTCTGCTCATCGGCTGCGCCATCCCTCTCTGGCTGTCCCTCGCCACACTTCCGCGCTCCGGCAGCGGCTACTTGACCGGGTGGGAGGTGCCGACGCGCGAAGTCAGCATGGTGGCGGGCGTCATTTGCGTCGGTCTCGGCGATGCTGCCGCGTCTCTTATTGGCAGGCGGTACGGGCACAGGAAATGGGTCTGGGGCGGCGGCAAGAGTCTCGAGGGCAGCGTCGCGTTCGCGGTGGCCGTGTTCCTTGGGCTGATGGCGGCAACGACCTGGCTTCGGGTTGGCAGGTGGCCCGTCGCGGCGGAGCAGCATGTGGCGTGGCCCACGTCGGCGCGGAACGCCGGCTTTTGCGCCAGCATGGCAAGCTTGACGGAGGCGGTCTTGACCGGCGGAAACGATAACGTTATTGTGCCGGTGGTCCTCTGGACGTGTGTTAAAAGCATCGGGGTGTAGGGGTGTGATATGGGACTGGCGTTTTCAGGGGGGTCAGGGTTTCACGAGATGGTTTTCTTTTACAAAATACTCCTAGAACATGGGGGATTATGATTACGAATGCAACGCCTCGGTTCGCCTGTCTATGTGCCGTGTGATTTTCGTGAATCGGTTCGGGGAAGCTACAGATGCTAGGTTTCGCCACCATGCTTTCGCCTCCCGAATGCGTTAAATGTACAATGATTTATAGAAATGTCGAAGTCGACTCAGGACATCAAGTCCTCGAGGATGGCCTCGAGCTCTTCTCGCCTAAAGGGGATACTCAAGAGCTCCGTGCCGAGGGCATCTTTCCTGCTCTCAATGATTTGATGGTCGTGGAATCTGTCTTGTCAGTCTCTGCTTCAAATGTGCACCCGATAGAATGAAGGAAAAGGGGGTATAAGGGGGGGGGGGGCATACTCCTTCAGCAGCGTCCGGAACGCCATCTCGGAACTGCAGATGAAATCCTCCACGGCCTTGTTATACACCATCCGGTATTCAACACCCGTATTCTCCGCCCCATACTGTTGTCCACCGTCATCGTCCATGGCGGACAGGACCTCGATAACGAGCAGCTCGAACAGCTTCTTTGCGTTCTCGGGCAACGAGCGGAGCACAAAGACGACGCCCTCTTTGCCGTTGACGCGCCGGGCTTTGCGGCCGAGGAGTTCGTGGACCTCGTCTACGGGGTCGAGTTCGACGTCCTGTAGGGGTTGGAGGGTTGTGGCGTCGTGGAATAAGAAGTTGAAGGATGTGCGCTGGGCGGCGTCCCAGAGGAGGGGGAAGGAGGGCGTGTCTGCTGTTGCGACGAGGTGGATCTGGGGCAGGGCGGCGAGTTGGGAGAGGAGTTGTTGGGTTGTTTGTTTGCGGAGGGGGTGAGCGTCTATGGAGTGGAGGAGGATTGTTATCGGTCGGCTGTGTGATGATGAGGCGAGGGCCGAGGAGAGGGCCTGGACCATGGCCGTCGTCTGGGCGGGCAGTTTCAGCGCCGGATCGAGCGCAGCGGCGACGGTGGAAAAGACTTCTCGGGCTGTCAGAGAGCGCACGTGGCCGTTGACCACGACGATGGGCGCCTCCGGGCCCGCGGCGTAGAGGTGCGCCGCCAGTTTGGCGATGAGGCTGCGTTTGGAGCCCTGGCCGTAGAGGCAGAGGCTGAAGCCCTGGGCGAGCTCGAAGTGCCACTGCGGAAAAGAGGACTCGTGCAGGGACTCGAGGTAGGCGAGGTCGTCTGCGTGGGGGTCTTTATTTTGTAAGGCGTCCTCGCGGCGGAGGTCAAAGTACTCTGCGTGCGTGAGGAGGTCGAGGGAGGCGAGGGTGTTGTGGGACGTCTTTGCGCGGCCGGGCTTGTTCTGCTCAAAGTAGATTTCGTGGGGGGGCAGCTCGCGGGGCGGGGTTGGCGATTTGGGCGGTGGGAGTTTGCGTGGACGGCCGCGGCGGCGGGGGGTTGCTGCTGATGGTGTGTCTGGTTCGGGGGGTTGTGATGCTGATGCTGGTGCTGATGCTGGTGCTGATGCTGTGGATGGTTTCGTCGCCGATGTCGTCGTCTTTGCTCTTGGTGTCCTCCGTTCCTCGGCTTCCTCGTCTTCCTCCTCCTCGCTCGACTCGTAAATCTCGCGCGCGAGACCCTCGTCCCCGTCGCTGTCCTCGTCGGCGACGATG